TGTCAGAACACGTGAGCATAAGAGTGAATGGAGTCGAACAACAAGGCTGTGGTAGGTAACAATAATGATAATGATGATGATGATGATAATACATGTTCTTGTAAAATTGTGCAATGATGACTCACTTGATATTTTGGTGCAGCACAATGTCAAAAAGCCTTGTTGATGTATTCGGTTCTTTTAATAGTTGAATTAGTTTTTTAAAACATAAACTGAACACAATTTTAAACTGTTTTCCAAACATATAAAAATCTATTTTCAAAGTGTTCAGATATTGTAATAAAGGTTAAGGTTACAAAAGGGCCAAGTTGTTGTGTCCATGTGTGCCTGTTGACTACATGTTCTCTCTGCAGTAAGCATGTTTTGACATGCTTGCTGTAAAGAGAACTTGTAGTCAGTGGTAAAAGACAGAATCATGACCTAAGTTTGAGTTTTCTTAATACAGGGTGCATGCTAAATTTGAGGTTCATTTTATACTGGTTTCACTGTACACACTGATCCAGATATTGTAATAAATGTTTAGGGTTACAGAAGGGCCCAATTTTCTTGTCCATGTGTGCTGCTGACTAACATGCATACTGCTAAGAGAACTTTTAGTCAGCAGTTAATGACAGAATCACAACCTAAGTTAGGGTTACAAAAGGGCTAAGTTTCTTTGTCCATGTGTGCTTAAAAGACATGCCTGCTGACTATTAACATACTTTCTGTGAAGAGAACTTGTAGTCAGAAGACAGTACAATTCTAGAAGACAGAATCGTGACCTGAGTTTGAGTTCTCCTCATGACGACTTCAACACGGACAAAGTGGGTAATTCTGTGAACCCCACTCAAGTGGGGTTCGTGCATATGTATGAGCACTGTTACTCAGTAACACATGACATATTTTACATCATGTTCCACTGGGAGTCTTAGATGGAAGCTGTGTAGTAAAACTTGTTTGGATGCTGTCAGAGAAACTAGGATAGATCGAGAAATTCAAAGTGAACTTTGTTAAATTGATTATTTATTTTGTAGTTGGTGTTTTGAACATAATTTGGAAAGCTTTGTTTGCTAAGTGGATAAAGATAAAGCAGATGTAGTTTAGGAAATGGTTTTTAACTTTAAAATTCTTAAAGATTTTGTCTTTGAATGATTATGCAAATTCAAGTTTGAAATTGAAGCAAACCGTAATTTGAGCTTTTTGTTTACACAAGTTTGGGTGATATTTAAAAGTAAAAGCTGGTCTTCTTTAAGTGAAGACATTGTTCACTGAAGGGAAAGGTTTCTTTGCTTTCTTTTCCGATCAGGCAATGTTTGATCCCTGATCTCTTGTGGATCACAAATGCAGTGATTCCACTCTGCATTCCAGCTGTCAAAGGACAGAATCATTGCCTACTTCTTCAACAGCGCATGCACAGCAAACTCATCCTTTGTCCATGTTGAAGTTGTAATGTAATACGGGTGCATGCTCAATTTGGGGTTTATCTTATGCTGGTTTAACTGCACACACTGATCCTTTTTGTATCCACTTGCAGGCATGACATGGAGAGAACTATCAGCTCAGCATCATCTTCAGTTCCATTCTGTTTGTTTAGAAATGGTGACTGTGTTAATGTCATGGAACCGCTGTCAGCTGAACAACTTACCCTCAAAGTTATTCATGACAAGTTTGAACCAGTCAGTAGCTCGGTGGCAGAGTCCTTAGTACAGTGGGCCAGTGGTGACAAGACCAAAGGCTTCCAGACAATTGAACAGATGTTACCAGTTGGTACGACTCTCACTGGAATTGGAGAAATCACACTTACTGATGATGGCATCAAGATAGGACCCCCAAAATCTGGTCTGACTTATTATCTATCTCAACTCACATTAGATGCTATTGTGAGACAGCTGCAGTCAGGAAAGAAGGTTTGGAAAATCTTGAGTGCCATCTTTGCTTTTGGAAGTGGCATATTGTTCTTGGTGTCCCTGTTTCTTTATTTCAAGAGACGGCGTGACAGGGAAGTGGAACTGGACTTGATGCGGAGAATGCGAGAGGAGGTGAATGTTTTGGGTGAGGGTGAAGTATTAGATCAGCAAGAAGCCTGTGTTATTTGCATGGACAGACAGCGCAATGTTGTTATTTTAGACTGTGGCCATATTTGTTGCTGTATAGACTGTGCTCAACGGGTCAACAACTGCCCTGTGTGTCGCCGTGTTATTGCAAGGTTGATTCCCACATTCAATAGTTGAAACTGAAAGTTCTTGTCTCTACTAAGTTATTGTGATATCAAACTGAGAGTTAGTGTTAATTCACATGGATCACATGTAGGTTTAATGGTTCCAAACTCTGCTAAAATTTCCAGCACCAACCTTTAAATCACTTTCAATGGCCTTGTATTTGGCAAAACTATGGAACAAGTTTTAACCAGAAGTTTGCAGAGACTAGAAAAATCTGTATGTAGCATGTATATTGTATGTAGTACACTTCATTGTTTTCAGTGAATTTTTTTCTTTGTTTAATTTTTTTTCAAACCAGTTTGTCTTGTATTTGATATGCTATTCTGAGACAAGGGAAAGTAAGAAACAAACTGGTTTGAAACATCTTAGAAAAAGGAAAAAAAATGTTCAACTGCTGAGTATGCTGTTATGTTTAGAATGTTAAGGCTGAAGTATTTGCATAGAACTGAACGAGCAATGTGGGTTGTGTAACAATAATGTAGGTGTGACAGAAATTAATAATGGAAAAGAAATAATTTAGTGGTAGTTGGAGTAAACTGACATTAGGAATTTGAACACTATCTTGATCAAAGGCTCTACATTTCATTGGTTTTTGTAGTGGTTCAAAGTGGTAGAATTGCTTTTGTTCAGTTTATTTCCTACATTTACTTGGAGTCAAGTTGTATTGTATACTAATAAAAAGAACAAAGTTAATTATTTTAGGAATATGTCCTTGCAGCTGGTTTGAAACAAGACATGAATGGCCCTATATTCCTGTGTTTCTCTTCTCACATACACCAACACTCTGATGTAAAGAACTAGGCAATGTCAAATTTGTTGTGTTTGTCATCTAACAGAGGGTAACTTACACCAAGATTTTAGGGCCCTTTTCTATTGAGTGTTACAAAACTAAAACAAGACTAATCATAAGAATTCTAATGGTTTAGCATCTGGGAAAAATCTTTTTGTGTCTCAAAAGGATCTTCTTGGAGCTAGGTAGGTGCTCATACTCTTCAGGGAAAAATCATAAACCTGGATGCCTTAACCCTTTCACTCCCAAAAGTGACCAAGACAGAATTTCTCCTTACAATATCAATACAATATCAAGCAGGCAGGTGATGAGAATAGAGAAGAATATCAATCATGGGATTATTAGTTGATCCAATACCAAATTCTCTGAACTAACATCATAAGAATTGTATGGCAGATAGTAAGGAGAATTACTAATAAGATCTTGGGAGTGAAAGGGTTAAGGTACCGTATAGCATTTCCGTTTGTAGCCAATTCTAAAATCCTTATGATTCACTGAGGTATTGCCCTCTCTGAGGGCAATACTTTGCTTTAGTCAGACAGTCTCCTGTGGTGTGCCCCAAGGCTTGGACCACTTTTATTCCTAATCTATATAAATGATTTTCATAATTGTTCAGTGCTTCTGAATTTCCATCTTTTTGCAGATGATGCAAATTTATTCTTTCAGCATAGGGATATTAAGATGCTTGAAAGTTTGATTAATTATGAACTTGAGAAAGTTCTTACTTGGCTATGTGCAAATAAGCTTTCATTAAATATTGATAAGTCAAACTTTGTTATTTTCCATCCAATTCAAAGAAAATTGCCCAAACAGGCATGTTATCTATAAACAATCAGATGTTGACCCAGGAAACTTCCATTAGATACCTTGGAGTTTACATAGATTACAATATTAGTTGGAAGATGCACATTACTAATATTTCTAAAAAAATCAAGAGAAGTATAGACATTCTTTCTAAACTAAGTTATTTCTTAAGTACTAAAACACTACTTAGCCTGTACTATGCTCTGGTTGAGCCTTTTCTCAACTACTGCATAATTGCTTGGGGTAATACCTATCAAACAACTTTGCAACCTTTGTTTATATTACAGAAGAAAGCCTTAAGAATAATCACCTTCTCTAGTTATAACGAACATTCAAGTCCTTTATTTAAAGATCTAAATGTTGTAAAGTTGTTTGACATCATAACCTTTCAACTTGCAGTATTTATGTACAAGTTTCATAATAATCTTTTACCTCCTGTTTTTGATCCTTACTTTAATTCTGTTAGGATGATACATAATTATAATACCAGATTATCTAGTAAAATGTCCAATGCTATTCCAAAAGTCAGAACAAATTATGGAATTTTCAATATAAGATTTCAGGGTTCTAAAGTCTGGAATGATATAAGTGATCACATAAAGCTTATTCCTTTGAAAAGTTTTAAGAAAAACCTTAAGCTAATCCTTATTGAAAAATACTAATAATTTCTGTAGCCTTCTGTCGTTCTTTACTCTGATTTTCACAGCGTTTTTGATCTTGTTTGTATGACCTTGAATGTGCATGTCTTTGTGTGTGTGTATGTTATGTCTTTGTGTGTGTGTATGTTATGTCTGTGTGTGTTTGTGTATCTTATATCTGACCCAAATCATTGTATTAGATAAATTGCCTAAGTATAGCTGCCCTTTTCTTCTAGCCCTTATGGTTATTTGGGGCACCTAGTACTCCTCCACATCTTTTATTGATATATTCTTTTTATTATTATTGTATCATATTTGGGTACGAATAAATTGTTGTTGTTGTTAGTGAAAAAATTTCTCAACTTTATTGCCTTTTACAGTCTGAAATTCTGATCTTTTTAGTATCTGTTTCTTCGGGCGACTTGACTTTTTTTTTTCGGGTGACATAACCAAAATCTCGGGCAACATGACTATGGGCGAGATGACTACTCTCTGACGTAGTTTTACCGCTTCAATAGACATTTTAGGTCATCTACATGACATAGAGGGCTTTGGTCAGCGGCTGCTGAGAAGTAATGTTTATGATAGGCGATAAGCACGATAGGCACGCTAGATATTCTGAACATAGCACGAATATGTGTCGAAAAAAATCTCCATGAGATGTAGTGGATTTTCAGGAAAACTGAAGTGCAGTTAACTCTTTGTGAGGCCGCCCCAAATGGTGCGAAAATATGCCGAAGACGTACGATGTTCGCGTGACAACTCTCGATGCAGAGTTAGAGTTTTCTGTCGAGGTTGATATGTTGACAACATTTTGAAGTTTACATGAGATCTATTAAATCTAAATTTGCTTCATTCTCTGTTAAAACTGTTCCTTTGTAAACGTATGTATTTTTTCGTCTGTATTTCCTTTAGAGGAACTGCACTGGAAAGGATCTGTTTGATCTGGTTGTGCGAACATTAGGCGTGCGAGAAACTTGGTATTTCGGTTTGCAGTTTGTAGACAAGAAAGACATCGTTACATGGTTAAAATTCAACAAGAAGGTAAGTGTGGATAAAGTAAACAATTGTTGGCCTAAAGGCGATTTGGTTGATCGAAACTGAATAGGTTTCACTTAATTCTCAGTCGCAGTTCATCAACCTTCGCCCTGGTGTACACATAAAGATAGCGAGTAACTTACGGTTAATATTTATCTTCTATCGACTGCTCATCAACTCATAGAAACTTCCCACGTTCACGTTCAATTAGTACAGATGTGACGGGTTGAGTCACACCCTGAGTCTTTAAAACCATTAGTTGCTTTTTAATTGTGTAACTTGATATTCACACTTTCTTACTCCCTTCTTTCGATGCAGTTCATTTAGTAATGAAAATCATTGTGATGCTCGCAGCGCTCGATAACATGTAGTTTGATAATGAAGTGACTGCTTTCAAATTTGTGGCTAGTCGCTCGACCGATTTCATGCTGAGTTAATGATATATCAAAGAGCCATATTTAAAGCCGTTTTGAATTGAGTTTAGATTTTCAGAACGATCTCAAGAGACAGAGCTTGGGCTTAAACTAGGACTAAGTGATTCCATGTACACTGCAGGTGGCCGTCACTTATGTTTATTTTTCTATTGTGTTTATCTTGTTCGAACGAGCACTTTCCACTCCTGCCCCCTGAATGGAACAAAGCCCAACTTCTGCCAACCGCCGTTCTAAAATCTATTTGTTTTAAGCATAATTCAACTGACTAAATGAAATTATTTTAAGAAAATGAGAATTATGTGATGAAGCCTTAGAAGTGTTTGGATGCATTTAAAGTAGAATTTAATTAATTTTCATACATATGGTTTTACTTTTAGAAGGAAATTACTTCCTCTTCTGACTTGAATATTTGAAAGTAGTAGTCTGTCATAAACATGCCAGTCAAAAGTCTAATAAAACTATTTGTATGTCAATGTAGTATTCGGCTTAACTTAGATTATTAATTAAAGCACTTCAATCTGCGTTGAAAACTCCTGCCCTTATTCTCACAGTTCTAATTTTGTTTTTCAATTAAATGCAGCATGCAAATTGTTATGACTTCATTTCAAAAAGACATCTGAGTTGTTTTAACTATGATTTATTGTCTAGACTTTTTGCCATGACACAAAATCTTGTCCTACATTCTAAGTCAGCTATGCTTTGCATATGGCAAAACTGAACTCATAAGCAAGTGATGTCACTATCTCTTTGAAGCCAGCCCTTGTGACTATAATTTGTAATGACAAATTCTTAAAACGATAAATAGTCTTTGATAATAGGGAGACCTTTTTTAAAACTGATGTGACTTAACTGGTGTAATTTCACTTTTAAAATACTCTTAAATTGTTTATTCATCTCAAAAGGTTTTAGATCAAGACATTCCAGTGGTGAAGGATGAACCAGTCAGCCTTAATTTTCGCATTAAGTTCTTCCCTGAGGATGTGGCAGAAGAGCTGATGCAAGAAATCACTCAGCACTTGTTTTTCTTACAAGTGAAAGAGGCCATTCTAAATATGGATATTTTCTGTCCCCCAGAGGCTTCTGTTCTGCTGGCTTCATATGCTGTGCAGGCTAAGGTATTGATTTACCTTCACCCACTTATAGAAATATTACAGTGGGATTGTGGCATTTCAATTTTCCCAACCACTGTTTATAATGTAGTTTGAAAATATATTATTGAAGGATATGGAATGGGTAAATAAAAAACTTTTTCAGAAAATGAAAAAATCTTTTTACTTACCATAATTTTAAAGACACTGGCTGTGACTGTGAATTTGTCATGTGTAAGAGTAGCTTATTGTTTAGAATGTTGACATGGTAATTAATACAACTTTTTCTTCCAGTATGGGGATTATGACAAAGAATTCCACACACCAGGATTTCTGGCAAAAGATTTGCTGCTACCACAGAGGGTTGGTACAAATATGTCTCTTTTTGACAGGAATGGGGAGGTTTTGCCTCATGGTCAGGACAATGGATGTATAATCTGGAATTCCAGTCCTAAAAATAATTATATTCATCAAATATAACTACTGTACTAGTGCACCCAGTTCACATATGACTACTCCTGTAATTTCTTTGACTTTCAAATTAAGCAACTTTCTTGTAAGTGATTAGTTTTTCTTAAACATTGGGCTTTTGTGGGAATTTTGGGTTTTGAGAACTATTTTTTTGAGTCTTGTAAACTGTGTGTGTATAGATAGGATTAAACAGTACCTGCCTAACAACCTGCAATAATTGAAAGTTGCTTGTAAAAGATACTTCATGTTCTAGGTTACACCTTAATCATTTTCCTCTTTTACTCTCAGGTTATTGACCAATATCAGATGACCTCAGACATGTGGGAAGAGAGAATCACCTCATGGTATGCTGAACACAAAGGAATGAGAAGGTATGTTCAATCTGATCTCAGACTTTAATCAGAAATTGGCTTCGGCAAGTTGTCTTAAACTGATTTTGCTTGTTCACTCACTCATGCTTGCCTAGTCAATCCAAGGGCAGAAAAGAAAAATTATTGCTCTGAAAGACATATAAATTGTTAAAGGTTGCCAGCAAAACCTGAGATTGGGAGCTCATTGCAGAGCAATGCATACTTAGGGTGTGGAGAGAAAAATATTTTAAAAAGGGACTCAGGTATATTTGTGAACGGGAGGGGGGGGGGGGGCGAAAGTCACAATCGGAAAGACTGGAAGTATATCAAATGCTGGGTGGATGAAGTTACCTTTCTCATATTTAATTTATGTGATTAGAGACGAAGCTGAGATGGAATACCTAAAGATTGCACAAGATCTTGAGATGTATGGTGTAAGCTATTTTGAAATCAAGGTAAGCCTGTAAATAAACTATTTAGTTAGATATCAATGTTATTAGGCTATGGTATTGAAGGACAGGAGTATTAACTGTAACTTGATGCAACATTTTTATGATTATTTGAGTAGTGAGTGACTTAAGCAAATGGTAAGAGATTGGAGAGGAATCTCTTGTGGCCTCATTGTATTGTATGTCTCTTGTTCATATCATGGCTTCTTCTGGCTTCTGCTGCAATTCTGAATTGATAGCTTAGTCACAATTCATAGGTGAAGAATATTATGGTATAAATGATGGGTTATTGTGTTGGAAACTGAATTCATTTCAAGATCTTTTTTTGTCAGTTTGCTGTGTTCTTGGGTAGGACTCTCTACACCCAGGAATAAGACTGGGCACCAACCAGCTGCCAGGAATATTTAATTAGATGTTGAGGGGGGGGGGGGGGGGAACTTCTTTGAACCATAATTGCATTCATGGTCCTCACTCCATGGGGAGTACCTGTACTTTTATTGGCTTTGATTTTGCCAGGATGAGCATCTGCAGGATTAGCAAGTCAACTTGTGTTCAGACCATAACTTTTTCAGAGATTTAAAGTTTGATTTGAAATTTGACGCAGCTTTTTTTTCCTCTCTCTCATTGCAGAACAGAAAAGGAACTGAACTGTGGCTTGGTATTGATGCACACTGCCTCAACATTTACGAAAAAGAAAATAAGCTCAACCCTAAAATTTCCTTCCCATGGAATGAGACAAAGAATATCTCCTTTCATGACAAAAGGGTAAATCCCTCTTATTTGTAATTATTATATTGAACTTGAGCAATAACCATAGCTTCCACCAAATACTGAATCTTGGATTTAAATAACCTATATCTTGGGTCCCAATAAACACATCTAGAACCTTGTGAGTTTATTTCAACACCTCTGCTATGTTACCTTTATTACAGGGATAGTAATTTTATTAGTAGACATTCGTTAGGATTAGAAATTTATCTAAAATACCCTGAAAAAACTTTGCTATTCTGCACAAAAGAATTTAAATAGAGCTAATTTTTTTTCCAGTTTCAGATCAAACCAGCTGATAAGTCTTCACCAGATTTCATTTTTCACGCAGCAAAACTAAGAGTTAACAGAGTGGTACGTTCAAGCATGAATTACATTCAAACTGTACTTAGTACTTTTTAACAAAACTGTAAACAAACTGATTGCAATTCCCCTGAATGCAGATTCTTGACTTGTGTGTGGGTAACCATGAACTTTTCACGCGAAGGAGAAAGCCTGATACGATGGAGATACAACAGATGAGGTCACTGGCCAAAGAAGAGAAAATGAGAAGACAGGTTGGTATGAAAACTGTCTTAGTGAGACATGCTTGTATTTCAGCGAGTCGTTGTCAACCTCAATTTTCTTACCGAGGGAGGCACTCGCCTCCCCCCCCCCCACCCTTTTTGGGCCTTCCCTATCCTAGTGAAAAACTAAGAAGAGGAACAGATTCATTCCCAGACAACCAGGCGCATTTTTTATTTGTATGGTGTTTGGCTAGCATGCCGGCTTGCCTCTTTTTTCAGCGATTCAACCTGCTAGTTGAATGGTCGCGGAAAAGTAAATAAACTTTCCCTTTTTCTCTGAATTTGTGTTTGTATTGATAGATAGAGAGAGACAAGCTCATGAAAGAGCAGCAAGCACGTGAAGAAATGGCGCAACAAAAGGAAGAATTGGAGAAAAGATTGACTGAATTTCAAGACGAAGCAAATCGATCTAAAGAAGCTTTGGTAAATATTTTTAACCTACAAAGTTGAAAATCTCAAAGCTGTTGTCGACTCACCTCCGAAACTGAACTGTTGAAACGAACTTGAATCATGCGACCGATGTGGACCCTTCTCTGAAATAGGGAACGGGAGTCACAAAAATGACTCTTCGGGAAAACTCATCCATCCTGGTCGCGTTTGGATCTAGTTTTGTCTCTTGTGTCCAACATACTTCTAAGACCAGCAAATGTCGGAAGCGTCTGTCTTGATAGAGCAAGAGAAATGGCCGCAAATTTACCAGATTTTCTTTATCTGTTTCAGATTAAGTCTGAGGAAATGGGGGAATTGTTAGCAGAGAAAGCCAGAGTCGCGGAGGAAGAAGCGGCGCTGCTCGGGAAGAAAGCTTCTGACGCTGAAGAAGAAATAAAAAGACTCAGATTATGCGTTAGTAAGGTACAGGGAAGGCCTTTCCTTCAGTTAGCGGGAAAATACAAATGCTATGTAGTTTCCTGTCTTTTTTTTGCGGCCATCCCAGACGATCGAGCAATCCCCGATTGTCACTCAATATTTCTGACACATCAGAACTAACCTTAACACAGAGATGTTTTTATCTACAGTCAGGAGACGAGCGAATCGCGATTGAAAGAAGAGCTCGTGAAGTCGCTGAAGAAAGACTGAGACGAGTCATGCAAGAGGCCGAAGCCAGGTCAGGCTCACGTGATTAACTATCTTTTCCTGATGGAGCAATTATCAAGTCAGTGTCGAGGGTCATTGAATGAGATTTAAGTACTTTAAAGGTCACTAAAGATGTCAAAAGCCGTGGTATTGTTTCCTTGCAAGTCTTATGGTCGTTTTGCTTTCCCGTAGAGCGAGGGAAGCTTTGATGCTGAGAGAAGATTTAATGAAGTCCAGACAAGCTGAGAGGCTAGCTAAACAAAAGCTGATGGAAATGACTTCGTCTCCTGATTTTTTCTCTGTAAGTGGAAGAAAGCTTGTTGTGTTTGGATGCATTCATAATCCGGTTTTACCCTCCCTAAGGCCTTTTCAGAGTCAGGGCGCGGTGGTCCAAGTATTAGCTCGTTAAAACTTCGATCAAGAGGGGTGGGTCCAAGTCTCAGCTGGGTCTGCGTGTTATATTCTTTCACCGTGTCTCTCTCCACCCATCCACCCAGGAGAGACAAATAGTTACCATCAAACATTATCATGGAAACCTGAAGAATTGCTGTGATATTGACCAGCATCCCATTCAGAGTGAGTGTTGATACCCTAGTCGCCTCGTGATATGGAAACCGGGTTCAGCTTCGTTAGGAATGGGTTTAAGTTCCTAAGACATCTTAAATTCTGCTTTGATTTGCTGCCAGCGCTAACAGCATATTTTCCTTTATTTGCGCAAATCTTGTTTTCAGTTGTGTAACATTAGTGCCGTATTTTTCAGAGGTACGGGGATCCAAGGGAAATAATAGCCGACATTGACCGCAGTGTTGAGCAGTTAACAGATGGCGAGGTTTCTCAGCTTTCACGAGATTACGAGAGAGAGAGGTAATCGTTAATTTTGTTATCTCTTGAAATGAGCGTTATTTTTTCATAAGCTCAGTACCAGTGTACATTCATTTTTAAGGTGGATCGCAGATGCTTTTAGTGTGCTGCTTTGAAGAATTAGTATCACGACTTCTATGAAGAAAGAGTACATAATTTTATAGATATATGTACGATTGGTTTGAAGGAACTTTCCAAACTCTTATTAACGTGTTCTTATCCTCTCATACTAACTTCTTAAGAATGGCATTCTTCAGAAACAAGTCGTCGCCGCAGTCACTTATGATCATTGATTAGGAACCAAAAGTATTTTGAGAAGATATTTCTTGAGAGAATTACTCACTCAATTGTTTGAGTGTTAGTAAACAACTATAATATTTAGTATGGTGAAATTCCTTTTTATTTTTCTTTCCCAGAAACAGAAATATACAGCAGCAGTTAAGAGATCTCAAATCACAAATGGAGGTACAGAAGGTTTTACTTACATTCCATCAACTCATTAATTTAAGCTGAATGCCACACTTCCTAGAAAGTTTGATCGTGTAGTCTAATCGTCGTCCGGGTTAAAGTAACCACGAGAAGGATTGTTTTCGGTAGCAGTGACTGACTTTGGCTGGTACTTATGAGTTTAATTGCGCCTGTATAGTTTGTCCGCAGACGTTAGAACAATTATTGCGAGGTTATCCTGCGTGGCAGGACACTTTAGCCTGACGGCGGAGACGCGCACTCCACTTCGTGTTAGCAGCACTGCTCTGCTTAACTCAGTCACAGCTACTTTTCTGAGATGTTGCCAAGTAGCCCGCCCGTGATTGTATTTGTAACTTGTAACAAATCTTTTCCAGGGACTTAAGATCGATGACAGACAAACACGCTGGGATTATATTCATGATGAAAACATGAGACGCGGGGAAGATAAATATTCTACCTTACAAAAGGTAATGCCAACGTTTGAGCGCTTTTCGATTGTAAGACATAAAAGCGAAAACGCATGTTAACCGCTATAGCCAATCAGAAAATAGAAAAGTATCCCAAGGAGCCAGTGAGAACTCAAAATAAGTTCAAGCAAACTACCTTAAACACTGGAAAGCACAAGCGACTTGTTCATAACTAATTTGCGTTTTGCGTCTGATTGGTTGCGAACGTGGTGTGGGTTTTCTCGACCAATCACGTAGCCTGGTAAAGCAGAATCAATGCAATGCCAGATAACTCTCGACATTCAGTTGATCACTGCCCCATAGTGACGAAGTTTTGTGCCTGTGCGAATTAAAGGTGAAGTCGTATCTTTATTGTTGTAACCCTGTTAATTCTACCACCTTCATATGGCTCGACGTTTGCCTCAATAATGGAATTAAACTTCTGGTGTTCTTATGGGTTTATAATATAGATAGATTTCTGTCGGTATTGTATACTTTAAAAACTTGTCACCTTCCTTATAAAACTCGAACAACGTTGATTGCTGACAATGAAATGATTTCAATTGTTCGTTATTCAAAGCGGTTCAGTAGAAGAAATCTGTCGAAGAGAAGCCCCCTCATTAACTTCAATGCGTTAACCCTTTAACTCCCAGATCAAATTTGTAATTCTCCTTACTGTCAACCATAAAATTCTTATGTTGGTTCAGAGAATTTTGTATTTAATTAACTAACTATCCCCAAATTGATATTTTCTTTGTTCTTATCACTTATCTGGTTGATATTGTATTTATATTGTAAGGAGAAATTCTATCTTGGTCACTCATGGGAATTAAAGGATTAATTGCGCTCCTAAAGCAGTTATCATGTCGCTGTTGTGTGGTTGTTTTACTTTAACATCATTGACTATCTCCGTTTTTTTTTCCTTGTGCGTGTGCCAGATTCAAACAGGAACTTCTACAGCAAGGATTCAATTTTTTGAAGAGTTATGATAGAGTATCTTTGAAGAAAAAAGACTTTTTCCCAGTATTTAATTCATTATGCGTTACTGAGATATTTAATACAGATTGTACAAGTTCATTCATCGTTCTCCACGGTGAGCGAGGCTCCTAACAGAAGTCGTTATGAACAAAGGATATTTTTTTATTTTAGTAAAACTAGCGCTTTTTGTTGGTAATTTTATGAATGGTTCCCTGCAAGATGAAATCTGTTTAAAATCTGTAACACCATGCAATCTGATTTACAGTGTCACCAACGTTTGCATTAGGTTATAAATTTTGTGTAAATTTGCTTAGCTCTTTCAAAGAAAATTCAAATGGAGATAGCCCTGCAGGCAATGGCAACCAATTAATCATATTTTGGGAAAAAGAGCTCAAATTTTGTTGGGCTGTATGCAATAGAGATAGATACGTATGGGTTTTTAATGGGCGGGGGGGGGGGGATAGCTGCCTAGATTCTAAGCCCGCCTTAGTACGTTATATATGTTGTATCTACTGACTGCTTAGAGCATTGGTTTGTAATACTTACATTAACTTAGAAAGACGTTAAAAACGGCATATCTTGAGTATATTTCAAGAAAGTGCAATAGCCATTCAAGTAATAGTTTGGATATTGATTTATTTATTTGAAATGGTATACGTAAAAGGCACGACAACTTGCCTGTCACAGATAGTAATCCCGTTAGTGGGTTTCTTTACTCTTCTCAAGTAAACCTAGTAAAATTACACGTTCAATGTATTTCAGTCGTAGATTAGGTTTTAGCTACTCAGGTTACTTTCCAAGTAGGATCGCCTGTCCCCATTAGTGTGTCAATCGAGATTCGAAAAAATAAGATCGAAGACTATGGACGGCTGCGTTATATTTCCCAATCAGTTTTCGGCATGGCATGTGTATCCCTTTGTAATTTCACTTTTCGCTGGATAACGGACAACTAAGTTACAATTAGTCTCTCCTTGTAGCATCAATGGATTTAGGGTGAATCGGATTGACATCATCCCAACGCTTTAGGTATATGAATCTATGTGAAATAGATTTAACTGAATATTTATAGTAGTATTAATAGCACATTAGGGTCGGTAAAAAGCTATCTTTATTTCAAAAGGCGAGTGAACTTACTGGCCGGGGGAGGAGAGTAAGAAAGGGTCTCGTCCCAGATTTCCATGATACGACGTGATAGCTTTCTCCGCATTCACCAACAACATCCTGAAATAAAACAAATGAAAACATGGAAGCGTACTGCTATTACCTTGTCAATACACTTGTCGAGCAAATGTTTCTTGAATTTTTCTTGTAAAGAAAGGAAAACGAATTTAATTTTCGTCTTTACTGAAAAGGTTAGACCCAGAATTTCGCCGGGAACCACAACGGGATTGCGCTGAGGTTCCCCCCGGAACCATTCCGGAAACCCACCCGATATCGCGCCGGGATACCACCAGCATTGTGCCGGATTTCCCTGCCCGTCAACTCCTTGCAAGTATTCGAAAATGATTGGAATTTAACTGAATCAGGACGTGTTCTCAATATTGCCCGATCAACTGCGCTGGCAGAATTTCCAAGACCTTGCCTTCCTAAACCTTACCTTTGAGTATGATGTGCTCACTTGAGAGGGAGGGCACATGGACCAAGATACAGCAATTTGTTCATGTGAACACTTATGCTGGGTGAAAACTTGAAATTTTTAGTGAAGTTCATTTTGGTAACTAAACCGAAATGTCTTACCTGAACATATATAGAGAGAACTGCCTTTCCTGCACTGCCGTGAGGGAATAGGTTGTACTCGTCTCCAGTGCCTCATCTGATTTAAACATGGCGGATGTATCTGTGTTGTTACTAGCTCTTTAGAATATTTTACTTTATTTTCATTAACAGAGCGATTAATAGCCTCTTATATATAAGCAATGGATGATACTGTTAGTAAGTACAATTTTGGCTTATTTCAGTGTATTGCAGTTTATTCTACTTAGAAAAGGAAACATTCTAAAACTATGTAGAGGGTGCGCGAACTTGACAACAATTATAGTCTAACGACCAAGACGCTCATATTACCAACTGCACTGTGCCAAAACAAGCTCAAGAAATGAAGCAACCTCTTTTTCTGAACTACCGTATATCAATTATTGCGTATGCGCTGCAAGATGTCATCACCCTTTCATCCCAAAGATTTCAACACAGTTTGACATGCAGGTCTTATGATTTGAGTTCTGTGAATGTAGTGATCAATCAAACCATGACCCTAATTTGATGCTTTGCTAACCTTATCAAATGTTTTCTTGACAATGTGCTGATATTTTGTGGAGAAATTTCATATTGATCATACACAGGAGTGAAAGGATTAACAGTAAAAAGAGTTAGGAAATTTAAGGATCAAACATGGCCCAGGAACCACATGAACCTTACTGTCTTGTCATGCCTGTTATGTAATAATGTTTTTATTACTCTGCCTGATCTTGTAGCTAATGCATTCTGGTTGTGCATTGTGTCTCTATTATGGGGCTCCACAAATCCTCTTATAAGACAAGGAAGTCAAGGAATAGAGGATATTCACAGACCAAGTCGCATTGGTCAGTTTTTTGCAGAAGTGCTTTTTCTTGTATCCAACTGGAGGGTGAGATATTTTTAATAATTGAATTGTGATATTTAAATAAAAGAAGGTAAACAGAAGGTAACAGTTGATTTTTCAATCTTTGTTCGGCTTGGGTGAGGATGTCTTTGTAAATACATAGATTCCACGCATACACAGAGGTACAGTGTATCCCCTAGAAATATTAAGCCCCCGATCCTTCCAAAAAAATACATATACATCTATTTTAATTTACAAGTCCAATTTTTAATTTAATCACTGGCACTAGGCAATCAATGCCTGCCTGTGTCTACTACCTAAAGACACAGGCTCTTCTCTCTACTCATTAGGCATTTTCCCCCTTTGAAATTCAAAATGATGGTCATGAATCACTTGTCTAAGTTATAGCTATGTCAGGCTCACTGATAAATAGTCTGGTGGATTTTTTCCTCTACAGTATTTGATTCCCTTTTTGTTAAACCAGTGTGGGTCAGTGGTTTATTACCTGACACTTGCATCTGCAGGTTTGTAATTAGCAACAAGTTTTGTTTGCTGTTGTTTTTTTTAATCTTATATACTTCTGAAGAACCATACTATATTCATTAGTATTTGTTATTACCAGTTATTGATGCCATTCATTTTCCAGATTTGTCCGTTGCTGTGCCAATTACTAACTCTTTGACTATGATCATCACAACATTGACTGGGAAGCTTTTAGGTGAAGACAACATTAATGCAGGTATTGATAATAAAGAAGTCCCTTGTAAGACAAAATACAACTCAACAAAACTCAATGAAAGATGCACAGTTAAAAAAATAATAATAATAAACAGCTTTTGTGATAGTTTATGGCCACACATGGGAACTCCATGGTTGCTTTTATGGGAGAATAGGTGGTTTGGTGGCTGGGATGCCAGACTCCAAGTGGAGAGAGCTCTGGTCTAAAGCCTTGGATAGGAATAGGAATAGAAAAAGGTTAAAAGAAAATTGACAGGAGAAGCGAATCCTGACAAAATGGGAGAGCAGGGTACCTACAGTGGACTGACATCCTGGTCAGGAGTAGCAACAATACTCCAAGTTGCTGGATGGTAGAGAAATCTTGACAAGCTGTAGCTGCTATGCTATTCAGTTGCCCTAAAATATTTTTATATTTTGATGAATGCAAGAGTTCGAAAGTGCAAAATCTTATTTCTTCATGCCATGCTTTGGATCAAGTTCTTAAGAATGCTGTTTTATTTGCAGGAACATTTCTTGGAATGATGCTCGTTGTAGCTGGGGTGAGCATTTGTGTTATGGATAAAACACTATGAATCAACATAACAATCCAAAAACTAGAAGATTGTCCTCTCAAAATGGAGGTGGTTGGGGATAATCAGAGCACATGCTGTCAAAACATTGCGCTGGTAATGGTAGTCAATCTTTGAAACTGGTTGTTTGTTTGCTCTGATCTGCACCTATGGACCAAGCAGTTGAGAGTACTAATCAAATTATCAGCAATATATATTTATTTGTAAATATGAGGTCAATAAGAGTTTTTTAAAATTATGCTGGTGTTTCTCTTATTTGGTGAATAGAAGTTAATCTTTCTCAAAAAAAGTACACTTAAAATCACAATTATGAAAATATCATTACCTTAGACTTACAAACACAAATGACAACATTTAGAAATGTGTAGAGTAAGTTTTACTAGTCATGTATTGTTTATCACAGGAATACAAACATGATTTCTATCGATAGACAAAAGAAAAAGCTTTCATTTAATAATTCCAATTTACTGCTGTTACTGTAGTCAGCTTTTTTCACTTTTGTGCAATTGTCCAGTCCCTGTCAAGCAGTTTGTTTCTCAGGACACCTGTTGCCTTAGGAACCACCTGTGGGCTCTAGGTAAAGAAAAACCAAAAAGATTAATTTCATGAGAAATAGAGACTATTGTAGTAGTATCCTTTAAACGTTTATATGAGGCATAAAGCATGGCATTCTTGCACCTTGGACCAAATTCTAAAGTCTGTCATATTGCACTCTCATGAACAGGATATTATTCAAAGCAAAAAAAGTTTGACTGTAATGTGTAGTAGACGATCATTATTTGTATGTACAGTAGTTATGTGCAAATGGTTTGCTCTAAGCCAATGGGAAAAAAAGGAAAATTGCATTTTATGATCTTGAACACTATTTGCACCCAGAAATGTGGCAATATCCATCACCTGCTCATAATTGTTTAACTCATAGCTCATGAGAAGGAAACACCTTCCAACAGTCATGGTTACAACAGCACTTACTCGTGTACAAAACAGGTTTGGAGCACACACTCTGGCATCCGTCAAAGCAGCACATTTTAGCCAGGGGGCAATCCTTGTCCGTCTTGCACTCGTTCTTTACAGGAGCAACACACTTGTCTGGTTTGGGCAGAGGTGGACACTTCAGGGGTTTACCTACAGAACAACAGTGATTTACACAGTCACGTAACGATGAAATAAATTCGATTTAGTCGTTTAACTCTCGCGTGAGAAGCGCGTGCAGCCCCTTACTCAAGAAAATATAATAATCTATTGAGCTGAGATACAAATTTTTTTTTTACAATCGCCCAACACCGAGTGGGCATTTCGGGTAAACAAAGGGTACTTTACTGTGACTTACTCCCGGTCTTTTCTAACTAACTGCCGTTAGGCTTAATGTTTGTATTAGGTCTACACGTACTCTTCCCTTGACAGTACAGCCATATAGGTTACCGTGCAGTACAGAGTTAACGACGATTAAATAGAGAACTAAACGTCAAGACGTCAAGAAATCTCGTTGAGCGTATGATCGTTTTTGCGTTAATTACTTATATAGAAGTAAGCAAGTTCTGAAGACGTCTGGAACTCATGCATTTTTTTTGTGGGGTCTTATACACATAAGCACAAAAACACAACCGTAACCAGCCCTACATGTAAGTGAACCGTTAAGTGGCGCTAAACATCGATTCTTCGTTTTAATCAAAGCTGCCCAAAAAATAAAGGTCTCACCGCAAGAATAAACAACAGACAAATGGTTGTTGGGTCCACGGCAAACACGGCTAAGGGCAGATTCGGCTTTGACTTCACATGTATTTTCCCAGCCACACAATCTCTCGATCTCCTTTGTCACGTTTTCGGAACAAGGCAAAGTGTCAGGGCTCTTGCTATCGACTTGGGCGATGAACTGTTTGTAAGGACAAATTGTTGGATCTCCAGTATCACCGTACTTTGCTTCGAAAATTATGAGCGATTTCAAAGGATCTTTGCAGGACATTCTCAGCGATTCTCCTTGGCAGGCATTGTCTGTGTTGACGGGTCCAAAACCTTCAATTTTTACATCTGAAAATAAGTGAAATCTGGTCAAACAACTTAGGAAAATCTCAGTAGGTTGGCATAATGGTCAACATGTTTCAGACCACGAAGTTTTACTTCAGATTTCGAAGTAAACAGTGGTGTTCATTAAGCAGTCCTCCACTACAACAACAATCTTTTCATTCCTAAGAATTTCCAGCTTGAATCCAGGCTTTCACTTTACACAAGGAAAAAAAGTTTTCTAGCGCAATCGCTAGAAAACTCCACAGGAAACGTAGAGACTTAAACCTTGCTTTCCCGCTGACGTTGCGTTCTTCTTAACTTTTAGAAACTTCTTACTACTATTGTAGTTTTATAACGATGATGATAATATTATATACATGGAAAAAAGTGCAACCTACCCCTGCATGTTTTGCCATTGCTATCCAGGAAAAACCCCAGATGACAGCTGCAACTGAAGGAACCATTTGTGTTCGAGCAAACTTGATCGCATCCACCGATGTTCGCGGTGCATTCATCGTCATCTGGTGAGTTAGATATGTAAGCGTTACTGATCATGCGTGAGGCCTTAATGGCTTCATGTTGGCCAAGTTTTTTTTTGCGTTTTTTAATCTTGTGGATCGAGTCGAATGTGAAATCCACGAAAACGCGAAAGAAAAAAAAAACCAACCAATTTTAAAATAACTTTGATAATCGTAATGATCACCGATAGGGAAAGTCATATCCATCCATCGTGACTAAGGAGGTGCAGCTCATAAATACTCACTGAGTGGCAGGAAGATTTCTAGATAGATTTTGCTTTTGAAGGACCAAAGCATGCTGTCTCGAACGGGTAAGGTGCACAGGTAACCATTTAGTGCACATTATTTCCTTTACTTTGCCAACCCAGGGAGCTAGCCATAATTACAAACCTTCACAGGTTTTCGAAACTTCGTTGAACTTATATCCAGGTTTGCATTGGCAAACATAGCTCCCGGGAGTGTTAACACATTGGGCCTCTCCACAGTCCGGTTGCCTGTAACTATTACATTCGTCTGTATCTGATTCAAGAGAAAAAAAGCAAGGCATGTCAAGGGAAAAGATGTTTACTGAAGGTCAAAGTTAACTGGATCCAATCTGACATTAACATTATCCGCAAGGATTACGTTGACCCCGCAATTTAAGTGGATGTAGATTTCCCGCAGAACATTGTAGCTGCCGAACACTTTAATTTCTTAGTTCTTAAGCTAAATACGAAAGGTAAAAAGACTCAGTTTTGTAAGCTTAAATATGGAGTGGTTATTCGTGAGCACAATTTATCCGAGTCCAACCAACGTCTTTTAAAGTGTACTTCAAGAGTCGAACCTTCCAGACGAACAGTTAGATGATTATTTCTAAACATGAAAATAAACGGATTTGTGAGGTTCGATAGGAAAACCAACGTCTTGAAAACCATGGAATTAATTTCCTTACCCCGGCATGTCTGTTTGCCGTCTTTATAGCCTGATTGGTACCCTTTGGGACAGGTACAGTAAGAGTAACCTATTCTGTTATGACAAACCCCAACACCACACCGGTTCGGAACCTCTTTGCACTCGTCAATATCTCGATGGAAAAGGAAAATAATATCAGAATTTGCCGGTCAAAACAGAGAGTGGATTCACAAATATCAGCATTAGTTAATAAGTTTTATTGTACGCCCTAATTTAACTCACAGGTCTCTCATTTTCTCTTGTAGAATATGGGTGGAGCAAAATTTTTGTAGCTAAGATTTGTCAATTTTACTCACCTCAGGGAAACTAAGCATTCAAAATTCCCAGAACGTTTAATATTGAACTTGGTACTAACAATGTCGAAGCTGTCATACACGGGGAAAATGAAATACCTTCAGCAATAAGACCTTCCAATGGTGTGTAAGTTATATTTATTGATTTAAATGACAGAACCCAACCTTCAATCACTCTTACAAGCAAGTATCAATAAACACCTACCGCGGCATTTGTTGTGCCTTAAGTCTTTCTTGTAACCATGCCAACAGACGCAAGTGGTAACACCGTGTGCAAGGTCCTTGCAACTTGACTTAGTTGTGTAAGGACACTTTTGTCGTCCCTCGAAGTAACAACTATTGACGCCTGTGAAAATATTGTAAGTTGGAAATGAGTGTGGATCATTGAGACCTGGAGACGAAACGCAGTCGTATCTTCACAAACGCGTTCAACCTTCTGTGTTGTAATTGTTCTAGCTTCACGAGGACTAAATGAGCGTTCTTGCGTAGTGCTAATTCTTTAGTCACATTTTTCAGCAAAACCCTACTTTTAAACATATTTTAAAAGACAAAACTTGATTTACCACAAACCTTTGCACGTCTGCGAGTCATACCCCAGTTTGTAACCATCGGGACACGAGCATTCACGCTTCCCATTAACCAGGTTGCATGTGTGCGAGCATCCACCATTGTTGTTCACACAAGGGTCGATGTCTGAAAGGAAACTTATGTCAATCTTGGCTTAACTGCGTTGCACCTAATATGTGTACTTACTCCTTGGGTGTATCTGCTTACTGACACGATGCAACAGCCCCACCCCTTCTTTCGATCACACCATCTTCAAATCCTATCGACCAATTTCTTTCCACATTTTCCGCCATCTTAACCAACGTGGACATCAACAGCTACTATGAATTTGCAGTGTTAATGTAAAATCTTCCATAGGATATTGTTAGAAAATTCCTTACGGGTGAGGGGTCAGTAGTTAAAGAAAAATAGGGTCGCTGAAACTTACCAAAGCCTCGGTAACTGATTTTGAATCCTCTTGCGTTCACATTCATATCGGTTTTGAAGGTCATTTCCACTGATTCACCGTCTAGTTTGATGCTCAGTACACGAGGATTCAGTGACCCGCAAACAGCGATTCTTTCGTTGCTATACCGACCTTTTTTCACTTTGATTTCAAGGAAGTCGAAATTTTCACAGTTTGTAGATCCTTCAAGCTTAATGGAAAATAATAACAAAAAACCGTTGAGAGAAATCGAATGCAATGACCTAATTGGCAAGTGGAACAATTTGGGAGGGATGGAGGTCGGGATAGCTACATGTGCGCTTTTACAGCCTGGGGTCAGTACATGCAAAGGAAACTAGCGTGAAGGTTATACCAACATTATTAACTTTGCCAGAAAATTTTCCTCCAGTCTAAGTCGCTTAAAATATAAAATGGCAACACTGATGCACGGAAAGGTGTATGACTCAAGCGATATTTGCACGGCTTTTGCTAAGAAAACAAAATCTTGCAACTTGACTTCGCTCCACAATTTCGCGCAGTAAATAGGGAAAAGCTTTTGATTATTTACTTACCAAGAAGTCCTCAATAGTGATATTCACATGGGACTTGTAAGGAGAGATCTTCCATCTACAAGTGATACCATCTGGATAGTCGTTTGGGTAATTTGGTGAAGTTATTTGTCCAGTTTCATTGTTAAGGACACCGCCACATTTTGCTACTGTAATAATTTAGATGTAAAGAATGATTGAATGTGACACAGAGATTTAGTCAAAACTCGTTATTAAAAATCTCTGAGCCATATATGAATTCTAACATCATGGCCTAGAATCAGTAATCTTTTTCGTTGAAAAAAATTGACACTTTCATATATTCTCGTCTGTAAAGTGGAGAGGCACTTCCGGAATTCCTCTCTACAAGAGATGGGCCATTAAAAGGTGAGCAAAAGCGCGCACAGAGGAAAACGCCGTGAAGTAAAAAAAGATTAACCTGCATCATCAGAAAGTAAAAGCTGTCCTACGCAGAAAAAGTTATTTAGACTTTCCCACTTGGTATGCCATAAAACTTTAATCTTTCAAAATCCTTCACCCCTCCTTAATTTTTCTTAAGGTCTATTATTTAATAATGTGACGTGACCTCTAAATTACTACAGCTGTCCTTTTCCTAAAAAAACGTCTAAAGTAGCCATGTATCAGGACCAAAGTATTTGGCAAACAGCTCTGACTAAAAAATCATGCTGTCAAGCTTGGTTTACAATTACTTTATATAGGGAAAGGAAACCACACCATGGGAAATCGCCAACTGAATCATGGCTGAATAATAACTTTGAGTGACCCAACTGTCAACACTTCCTAGTTAAACTAGACAGAGATATTCTGGTAGAGACAAAATATTTTTACACATGCCGATGTGAAAGTTTCTCTTAAGATTTTAACCGACGAGTTACACACTTTTTGA